GAAGGGAAATAACAAAATGCTGAAATAAGGACACAGGTTGACCCATTGTAACAATGAGATATACAAGACACTATGTTGAAAATGAACTTACAACTTGAGGGGGAACGGGGGAGAGATTTGGGGAAGTGGGGAGGGAAGGGATGGTAGGGGAAAAACAAAGGAGGTGGTAACAATGCTTGATAGGAAATGTACTCAGTACCTTGCTCATGTAACTGTAACCCCTCTGTACAGCATCTTTACAATACAAATATATATGAATAAAAATGTCTCCTTTCTTCTAGTAATATCTTTTGCCTTAGAGCTTGAACAGACAACTATATGTATACATATTGGGGACAGTGGTTAACATATATTTTTAATATGAGGTGGTTTCAGTGTGATGTTTGTATACCATATTTTCTTTAATCCATTCATTGGTTGTTGGGTACCATGGCTGATTCTAGTTTGGCTATTGTGAACAGATATATTTTTTTTACATTCTGCTACTTTAAAATTCTCTACAATCTAAACTTTTGTGGGCTTCTTGTAAGTAGCATATGAATAAGGTATATTTTGTTCTGTCTTTGGTCTTACAAGTGGTACTTATGATTTATTTTTATTAATTATAATCATGATATATAATTGTTATATTAAATCTGGTATCTTACTAATTTTACCCACTTGTATCTATTCTTCCTCTGTCCTTTCTTGTTTTCTTTTGCGTGAACATAATTTTTATGATATCCTATTCATTCGTTCAGTTAGCTAAGTAGTAATATAATTCAAAGTATTTTCTTTTAGTGCTTACCTGTACAAAAGTGCATTTTTGTCTTATAAAAGTATAATATTACTTATTACTTTTATCCACATCCTAGAAACTAAAGGATTCTCTTAATGATTTAGCTCATCCTCCTACCAATTTGTATGCTATACTATATTTGGCATATATTATAAACTTCGTAAGATGTTTTTGCCATTGTTTTTAAGAGTTGACAGCCATTACATTTATCCACATTTTAACCTCGTTTCTTCCCATATTGCCCAAGTTTCTACTTAGAATCATTTGCCTGTTGCCAAAAGAACACATTTTGGTACTCTTTGAAGAGTACTTTTCCTAGTGACTCAATTTCTCCTTTGTCTAAATTTTTCATTTCGTATTTTAAGGAATTTTTGGAAGGTAAACATTGTAAGTTTATAGTACTTTCACTATTCTGAAGGTGTCAGAATATATTGTCTCTGCAGACAAATACATAGTCTTTGGGTTTTCTTTTTTAATTCAATTTTATTTTATTTAAATTTTATTATTAAAGTGATATACAGAGGAGGAGTTACAGTTACATAAGTCAGGTAATGAGTACATTTCTTCTTGAACAGTGTCACCCCCTCCCTCATTTTCTCCCAGTGTCCCCCCCCACCTTTCTGTCTTTGAGTTTTCATTGCCTTTCTTGGAAGTCAGATGACAGTCTTCTTGCTTTTTGTTTCTTTTTGGCCTGGAGCTCTTACTAGGCTTTCTTTCTCACAGCTTAGCCACTTGAGTCATGTCTCCAGTCTGTCATTTTTTAGCCCAGTTTCTTGATTTTTCTTTTTCTTTCTTTCCTTTTTTAAATTTTATTTTTGTGCTGGTATTGAGTATTGAACTCAGGCCTTAGATGCTGTCCTTGTGGTGTTTTTTTTTCCTCCACAAAGCTAGGCCTCTATTTGAGTAACAGGTCCACTTTCAGCTTTTGGTGGTTACTTGGTGATGAGTCTCACAGGCTTTCCTGCCTGGGCTGACTTTGAGCCGTGATCCCCAGATCTCAGCCTCTAGAGTAGCTATGACTATTGGTGTGAGCCAATAATTTTAAAAAATAATTTAGTATATGACAGTTTTAAGGGTGCTATTTTACAATTTTTATGCCTTTTGTTTTTCAGAGTTTGTTTTGATGTGCTAAATTATGTTTTTTGAATAAAATACATTCCATTCCCTTGAGGCTTGTAGGGATTTTTGGATCTGTGACTTAAGATCTGTACTATCAACTGCCTCTCCATATTTGCATTTCACCATACTCTCTGCCTTGGGATTCATTTTTGTAGCCCTGGGGATAGAACGCCAGGCCTTGTACATGCTAGTAAGTGCTCTACCACTGCTCTACACCTCAGATACCAGACTTATATGAATTCTAGTGGCTCCATGTCCTACAGCAACCAGTTGTATTCATCCAGTGTGGAATGTGGGTAAAATACTGAAGGAACGGATAAGTGTTAGATGTAATTACTTTCCTGATTCATTTTGAGGAAGGCACCTTGAGTTCACTCTTTTCCTTGGCAAAGGTCACTGTTCCAACATCATCTTGGTTCTGTTTCTCTGGAAAATTCTGATTAGTGCAGGATATTAGGAATTAGCTCCTTACTATGAAATTCTGAGGATAGGTTATTAATATACTCAAGGAGAACATGGGCAATATTCTTGTAGAAAAGAAAGGAGACACAAGTAATTTCATTGTATGAAGTGATATCACATTTACTCAGCAAAGGATGAAATGCAATTTTAGGGCAAGACACTGGAGGTTGAGTAGCTATAGCACTTAGTCTCTATGACAACAAGGTTTCTAATAAAGCTCATGAAGTCTTTTTCTAGCTTAACATAACTTCAGAAAGCACATACAAGGAAAATACAAAGTAAGAGATATGAATATAAAATGAAGAATGTGAATCTAAGAACAAGATAGCTACAATAGATTTAAAGGAGTTGTCTCATATTTGTGCATGGAATTGCTACTGTAGTCCCTGCCTCTGTATCTGAGAAAGATAATTGATACTGAAAGGGCATTGGGATCAAGGTCCTGAACTATTCCTTGAACATTGCCTACATCTACCACCACAACATACAGCACTGTAAGTAATTCTTGAATGTGTTATTTCAGGAGGTTTTATCATCTTCCCATAGAGATTTTGATTATTAAAATTCTTTAATCAATTTTGGAAGATTTTCAGCTATTATCTCCACTAAATGCTTCTGTCTAGTGCCTCTCATCTGCTTCTGGAAATCCAATTACATATGTTAAAGTTTTTCATGATATTCTTTGTATCCCTATGCTCTTTTTATATATTTTACATTCATTTACATCTCTATGCTTCCTTTTGAATATTTCATTTCTCACCAATTTTCTACATGTCACAATTAAATATTTAGTTTTGTCTTAGCTACTATAGAACCCTCCTTTAAAGGTTCTTTGTTATTATTCATGAATAAATTTTTCTTTTCTGTTACTGGGTTTGAACTCAGGCTCTTGCACTTGCTAAGCAGGTATATACCACTTGAGCCATGCCCCTAGCCCTTGTATGAAATTATTAGCCTTGTCTTTGTTTCCTTGAGTATTATTATTTTAAAGTCTATTTGTAACAACTATGCCATCTACATCACTAGTTGATCTATTTCCATTGTCTGTTGATTATTATGATGTTGTTTTGTCTGTTTATGTGCTTAGTTATGTTTTATTGGGCATTTAATATGTGTGTGTGTGTGTGTGTGTGTGTGTGTGTGTGTATATATAATTTGAAGACTAAAATAATGTTTTCTTCCTCCAGAAAGAATCTACATTTGTTTTTGAAAGCTGAGCAGAGGCATGACCAATGCTAGAGTGTTTAAATTTAATTTCAGGGATTGAAGTAACTTAAAACTGAGCATTAGTGCCTGGATGATCAAGTTTTGGTGTTTTGCTCCTAGGGCTTAATCCTTGGAGTTTCTACTTAAAGGGTGATTGTTTACAGAATTTTCCTCCATGGCAGGCCATGTAATCTGATTATTATATCCCTGGGCCCACAAGCAAAGGCCTTTCTTAGTCTTTTTTCACCCCCCCAACTGAAAACTTGTCCCAAATCCCATGCTGAATTCTTTAGGTTTCATTCTAAAACCAAATCAAAAGAAAACAAAAATCTCTTGAGATTGTTGGATTGTTCAGAACTATTTAAAGAATGAGGCCAGTTGTAAAATTTTATATTCATGAAAAGTGGAGGGTTTTTCTAAGACATTTGAAAATACTTCATTTGGAAATTTTTGTAAATTTAATGTTCATACCTTTCCTACTTTTTTCTTGTAATCATGTGCAAAAAGTGTTTTTTAGGCAAACTCTATGAAGATGCCCACAAAGTCCCTCTAATATATTTCAATGGACCATGTGACTACTAACTTCTCTGGAACATAAAATGAGAAAGATTAGATAGGACTGACCTATCATACCAGCATTTATTTCATATTCATTGTTTTTCTTGTTAGCAGAACACTCCTATCACAAGAAAAGATAAAACCACCAAATATATTTTTATGTTATTATTATTATTTTTTTTGCCAAAAGGAGAATTACATGTCCAATGGGACATGAGGAGAAAACTCCCAGGGACTTGGAAGATTTTTTAAGTCATCAAAGAAAGCATTCATCTTCACTGGATGGATTTGATATCTTTATTCTTGTGATACTAAACTTCAAGAGTTGTGCATACAGAATCTTATTTGATCCCTTGAACCAGTTATGAAAACGGATGATTATATTTTAATATGGGAAAACTGAATTGTGGGGGATTTTTTTTTCAAGTAAGATCATGAGTAAGGGGACAAAACAAACATGCTTGTTCAATATTACGTTAACTACTGTTGTTTGGTAGATGATGGTCAAAGTCCAAATTACATGTAATCAATCACAGCAGCGATCTCCAAACGAGTTGTGCAGAAACTAGATGGGTTGGCACTAGGTCACCCCATCTGATCTACACTGGTACCATTCCTCGCTCCTTAATATCGGTCCTTTACTTTCAGAAAGCTCTGAAATGGGCAGCCAGGAAAAAGCACCTGGTCGGAAGTGCATTCAACGACCCGAGTCTCCCGTTGCTAGCCAGAACACTCGTCACTCGGAGCCCCTCCCAGCGCCGCCCTTCCCCGCCCAGCGTCTTTTGGACGTTGTCAGAGTTCCACTTCTAGGCGGAGCCAGTTTAGAGAGAGGCTCTAAGCCACAAATAGGGGCGGGGCCTCCCTAGAGGCCAGTGCGCGGCCGCGGCGATCCACTCGCGTTGCTCCGCCCTTAGGGAGACTCACAGGCACCATGGAGGAGTACCACCGCCACTGCGACGAGGTACCGCCCCTCGGGCACCCAGGAGTGCCCCCTTAGTCTGGCCCGCCTGGTTGCGGGGTCTCTGTTGGGTGGTTTTCTAGTTCAGGGTGTCAGGAAGAATTAGAATTCGTTGTCTTCTGTATCCAGGTTCTCTGCGCGGTCGAGGATCCTCTTTGCACGTCCCAGTCCCTCCCCCACCCTCCCTCATCACCTCCCTTTCCCCCATGGTCCTGAGGGTGGGCTGCTTGTTTCCGTGGGCCGGATGGTTAGAAACTCTGGAGTCTGACACCTAGAGGCAGTCGAGGATGGGAAGGAAAGAGGCCTGACTCGTGAGGCGGGTAGGTGGGACGGCATTAGTTGGTGGGCCCCGCCCGTCTGCCAGGCAGGCTTTGGACCTGTCTTGCAGCTTCCTGCCTCCCTTGGTGTGTTCTGGAGCAAGTGCTGCACAGCTCCTAGGGCTGGGGCCCTGGTGGCACTGTCTCTCCAGCTCTTGGGAACTGTGGTCTGAATAGGTTGGAAGGATGTGCTTTATGGATTATAAGCCCGGTGTTCACAGATTCAGGCTTCCCTAAGCCTTACAAGTATCACAGGATGTCAGTTACCTTCCTGATGGGGACTGGTGACTTTTCATGGAGATTAAGTGACGTGCCCCACGTTAAAACTGTCAGAGATGGCAGGTGCTCAATTTGAACCCAGGCTTGAACCCAGGCCTTTGGTTTAACGCCACAGCTCTTGCTTTACAATAATTTGGTGGATGAGGCCTGTTGGATTGAAGTGCAACTTGGGACAGTTTGTAATAGCAGAATAGACAAACATGGTTTGGGAAATAAAATTGGATAGATAGCGGAGGTGCAGCATAAAAGTATACATTAATAGACCTTTGAAAGGGGCTTCTGACCCAGTGGTAATCTTTAGAATATGCACCTTTACATAGGTTAAAACACACTTAAATGAGTTCTTTGTTGTCGATGGCCTTCATAAGCGTAGGGGCACAAAAAAATCATGTTTGATTCCTCCACATATCTCCAACAAGGCTGTAAAGAGTTTTTTCCTACAGTGCTTCTTAAAAGTGTATATATTTATTAAAAAAGAAAAAATATACGTGTACCTATGCATTTCCCTCCCTCCATGATTCTCAAGTATTAGGTGACTTTCTAAATTGAACTGACATGGCCTTTAATTCCTAGGCTAATTTTGATAGTAAAGACCTGATTTTAATGTAAAATGATATTTTTCTAAGACCAAAATGTGAGACCTCTTCTCATCATACTCCTAAATAGTTAGATTATATTATACATTGGATGTTGGGGAATTGTGTAGGGTAATTAAACCAGTTAAGAAAAACCAACAAATATTTCTTCAATACTGTAAGTTCAGAATTTACTTGTTTGAAGTAATTTTAAGTTATATAGTGGCTTTTACAAAAATACTAATGTCATAAAGCACCTAAAAATGTCTCCATGAAAACAGTCCTGTATTATCTAAACTGTATTGGTTTAGGTTTCAGTCTTATCACATAACCTAGTTCTATACTTGAGAACACTTGGATCTCATTGATAGTTATTGTTAATTCAGGATTCTAACAGGCTACTCCAAAGAAAAAGGAATTTATTGTCAGGACAATTTAAAGAATTTAAGTGCTACTAATTTCAAATGATCAAGTTATTGTTATAATCTTTCATCTGAAAAGAGCATAGTTTGCCAGGTTAAGTTGAAAATACAATGGAAAAGAATTAAGCATTTTTTTCTCATGGACCACTTTAGTCTCTCTTGTAGGTGAAACCATTTCCTGTATACTTATGGCACATCTCCACAGCCATCTCATGCTTATTTCCTGAGCTTTACAATACAATGACTCTCAATCTAGGATGTTCATCAGAATCATTAGTGTAAGGCACGTTTCCAAAAAAAAGATGTAATTGCCTAGATTCTGTCCTCATCTAATGACTCAGAATCTTCAGGGAGGAAAGTAGAGAACACATTCTGTATTTTATTTTTATTGTTTTGTAAAGTTGAGGAGCAAACTTAGGGCCTTGCCAGGCAAGTGTTCTACTGAGCTCAATTCCTAACCCCCACATTTTGTATTTTTAAGGAGTATGATTTGCAGCCTCAATAGACCTGAGTTCCTTTACCAGGATAGTCTCCTATCACTAACACCTGTGTAGTCCAGCTGAGAATATTCTATGTATTGTCATAACTTCAGATAAAAGGAAGCTTATAATGGAAACAATTTTATCTTGTGTTTTCTGTTTAGGTTGGCTTCAATGCTGATGAAGCACACAATATTGTCAAAGAGGTGAGTTATACATGATCATCTCGAAGCTTGTTACATTGATAGAAATTTTAAAATTTGATGTTTTGATTTTTCAGTACAAAATTAGAATCTTAGTATTAAAAATGAGATTCAAAATGTTTATTTATTAATCTTTTCCAGGGGTACATCTATGGTTTGTTGTATGTGGTCCTGAAATAGATGCTTAAGGACTGTGTTAGTCTAGAAAACTGGCTTGTTGATTCCTCAAATTGATACCTTGCTCAAGGAGAACAACAATTATCTTAAATGTTAATACTGTAAAGGTTTATGTGTGCACATGTATAGTATTTCATATAATGCAAAGTATACATAATACATATATATTAAATGGATAAAAAGATGTAGAAGTGTCTGCCTTGGGACAGTGTGTGCTTATCTAAGCCTAATAAAATAAAAAATGATCATTTAGCATCTTTTATATGCTGATATGATAGTAAACAAAATCTTCGGAAAACTATCTGAAACATGAAATGTAGTCCTTTGTCAACGCTAATAGAACAGAAATTCTTTCTGGAAAGCATTTGTGGCAAAGGAACTTTCATTATTCCAGTGGTATCAATATTGCACTGTGGGTGAGGTAGTTACAAATACTTTAATAGTCCTGAATCATCTTTAATTCTGCCAAGCCCTAGAAAATTTCTGAGCTGGCCCAGAAGACAGACTCAAGTTATGGGTATGACGGTTGGAGCCTGTGTTCTAGCAGGCCCTGACTGCAGTAAGTCTAGGCTAGATCAGCTCCACCCTCTGGGCATTGTTCATGTCATCAGTCCTCCATGAGGCAGTACTTCATTTGCCTGAACATTCTTCAGGGTATCAGCTTACCCAGAGCTCATGCAGCCCTGGCCTTGTACACTAGCATCAGTGTCTGAAAGGGCTACACAAGCACCCAAGAATCCTTCTGTATTTTAATAGTTTTGAATCATGTATCAGAGCTATGTAGTCCTGGTATATTAAATTAATAGTGCAAATGGTTTCAATACATTGCCAATGTAAGCACACAAATTAGGGAGGTGGAGGTAATGAGAAGAGCAGGAGTGATAACAGTCTCATTTTCCAAAGTGACAAGTTGAGAGAATTTCCCTAGTGAGTGGAATATGAAAGAAAGGATTCTGGTGTTTTGGCAGAGTATATTTAATTAGTGTGTTATTTCTTTTTAATTAATGGGCTGTTCCTTATCCAAGTTGAGAGCCAGATAAAAAGACAAAGGAGTCATTAAAAAGAGAACACATCACCTTTATTGTCAGTAAGAACTAGGTTGATAGTTGTGGCTAGTTTTACTAACTCCTGTTCAGTTGATTCCTTGGAAGAGACATTCAAGGGCAAGTCTGAGTCAGCAGAGAGAAACACCTAGGCTCATGTCTGTCATTTGTCTGGATGAAAATGGAAGAAGAGACGAGAGCCCAAGTCCAACATGTTGGGGAAATTGGCTTTTCCAGACAAAAATGATAGAACAATGCTTGTTACCCACCATTCTCTATCGAAAGGAATAATTGATGAAGAGGCCAGGAATGTTACGGAAAAGAATATATTGAAGTTGAAATAATGGGTTCGCTATCATGAGAAAAGAGGGTAGGTTGAAGTTGGCAGGTAGCCCGAGGGAATTAAATTTTCATGTATTATAGAAGCTCTAGCTTTAGGCATGTTTCCTATAATTATGAAGTGCTTCATGAATCAGTAAATGGCAATACAAATATTATTTGATGATATGTGAGTAACCCTGAAGGTGTTCTCCCTGGGGAATAGAAAAGGAAAGGGTAAGGTGGCAACTCTCATGTATATGTTAATGTTTCAGTAAGTTGATATGTGAATTTTAAATATTTGTGAGAACATCTTAAGCAATATAAGTAACCCAATTGAAAATATTTTTTATATAATCTCTGAGAATTTGTCAAAAGAAAGCTTAGCTTAGTTTTTGACAATAATATATGAAAGATGAAACATCAAGAAATCTCAGGCTCCTATGGGTTATTTTGAACTACTTTCCTATAAGCCAACTTGTTTTCCAGCATTGTAACATTTCCATGGAGGCCTTGGAAACTCTTGAGAACCTGTGCACTATTTTGGAACATTTCAGCCTTTCTTAGACAATAGTTTCAGCAGTGTTCTTGTTTTCCTTATGTCTCATTTTTTTCTGATCTTAGGTTTATCTCATTTCTTTTCTGATCTTATGTTTATCTCATTTCTTTACTGAATCCCTCCTCTGAACTCACATGCTAATATATTTATCCTGCTGAACTTTTATGGCCACTCATTTATTGGTAATAGTCATATATTTTAGTTATTGTTAGTAATTGAATTTTCCCAACTCCTAAAATCCCTGTATGAAAAAAAATATGAGTCACAAATGAAATTAACTTAGAATTTACCTGAAGTATGTTTTATTTAGGATGCCCTGAGTGTATATCAAAGCCAGTTTCCTTCACAAACAAACTATTGCATAAACAAACTATTGCATATCTACTATGTGCCCATGCCCTGAGTGTGACCCTGGAAATACATTGTATAGTGGCCTACTGATTAATGCCAATCTGTTAAATTAATATTAGTTAATAGTAATTATCAAGGCAATTAATAATGGGACCACATTCTCACAGTAAGTGCAAGACTTAGAGTGTCCCTATTAGATGACTTGAAAAACAAAATTAAACCATGTGGGCTTTTACATTCTCATTCAGAAAAACCAACTGGAGAGAGGGAAAAGGCTGTGGAAAGTTCACCAACTTTATAATGTTAACTCCAGAATGAAAACCCTGTTCCCCAGATTTTTAGGCTACTTTCCCTTCTCTGTCATGTTATTGAATTTTCTAAAGCAATTTGATCCATACAACTTAACATCAACCCCTTTAAATGATTTAAATTCTTTTTCTTTTTTTTTTTGTTGGTTGTGGGGCTTGAACTCTGGGCCTGGGTGTTGTCCCTCAGCTCTACCACTTGAACCACAGTGCCACTTCCGGTTTTCTGGTGGTTTATTGGAGATTAGAGTCTCACTGGCTTTCCTGCCTGGGCTGGCTTTGAACTTTGATCTTCAGATCTCAGCCTCCTGAGTAGCTAGGATCACAGGTGTGGGCCACCAACACCCATCTTGGTATTTTATTGTTATTAAAGATTTTAGGGGCTGGGAAGGTAGCTCAGTGGTAGAGCGCTTGCCTTGCATGCATGAGGCCCTGGGTTCTATTCCTCAGCACCACATAAGCAAAAAGAAAAAAGCCAGAAGTGGCGCTGTGGCTCAAGTGGTAGAGCGCTAGCCTTGAGCTGAAGAGCTGAAGGACAGCGCCCAGGCCCAGAGTTCAGGCCCCATGACCGGACCCCCCCCCAAAAAAAGATTTTATATTGTTGAATTGAAGGTAGATATTAGTTGGCATCTTTATAAATCTTTACTATAATCCAATTGTAGGAAATGAAGACATGTGCATTTGTTAACTGTACATATATGTATGGGTGCTTATATTAAGCTAGATGAATGAATGATTTGTGAATTATTTTCTCAATTCTATTACTTTAATACAGCACACAGCAGCAGTAATGATCATGGTAGGTAGTTCTGTGCTTGCTCTGTGCCAGTACCTGTGTTTGAGCACCTGACATTCATTATTCTCTCATTTGTGATAAAAGGATGCTATTAGTCCTCCTGGAAAGCTCAGGAAAATGGGGGGTTGAAGGTAGTAAATCACTTGTTAAATAAAGGTCACACAGGGGCTGGGAAGGTGGCTCAAGTGGTAGAGCACTAGCCTTGAGCTGAAGAGCTGAGGGACAGTACCCAGGCCCGGAGTTCAGGCCCTCCCGACTGACAAAAAAAAAAAAATAAGAAAAGTAAAGGTCACACAGTAGAAATGGGCAGCGCTGGTCTGGAGACCCGGGACTGTGATATCAAAGCCAGTTGAACAGGGATGCAAATAATCACTATAGGACATCATTTGGCTCTCTTTTTTCAAGAGCTTTAAAAAAAATTTACTTTAATTGGCAGGTGTGCTAGTTGTTTTATAGCAAAGTCATCACGTAGTAATAAACTTATATATGATAATTATGTTTTAAAATTACTCCTTTGTAGAAACAAGTGAGTAATCTGAGCCCCACTTCAAATCCCAGCTGTTTCAATACCACCACTCTTTAAGCAATTATCACCATTTTTAAATCCCTTCCCTGTTTTGTAATCCTTTTATGATATGACTTATCATATGATTAGTGTTTCTTATGTTATAAATAGTAGAGTTCCTTTATTCATCTCTCTGATTAAGTTCTTTACCATGGGGACCTTGGCATATTTATCTTTATATGATCCGTAGTAGTTCATAGAGTGAGGTAATAGTTGTGGAAAGGCTTTAAAAACACATAAGCAATTATAAATGAAACAATACTTATTTAGAAGGTGCTTGTTTTCTGGGATCTCATATTGGGGTGTACTTTGAATAAATTATTGGCCATATTTGTTCATTTTGGCTGAAGGTCTTATAATCTGCTCTTTTCTAGTGTATAGATGGGGTTTTAGGTGGTGAAGACTACAATTACAACAATATCAACCAGTGGACTGCAAGCATAGTGGAGCAGTCACTAACTCATTTGGTTAAGTTGGGGAAAGCTTACAAGTACATCGGTAAGTCAGCATCTTTGGCATTAGTTCACACATTTTCTCCTTGTGGTTTTCTCTGAATTTTAAGAATGTATATGAATGATAGACATTATATGTGGCTATTAATAAAGTAGAAAGAATTTCTGACTTATTAATCTAAAAATAATATATGGAGCCCAAAGTGTGGCTCAACTGACAGAATATCAGCAGTGAGCCAAAATAACAAGCAAGAATGCAAGGCTCTGAGTTCAAGCCCATGTATACAATACACATGTGTATATGTGTATATGTATGTCATATATATGCTTATATATGTGCATATATACATACACAAATATATCTGCTAATACATATATACATATGTATATAATATATATGTACCTATGCTATTACCTAAAAGATGGAGATGTTTCACTTCTCAAAAGCAGTTTGAGCTACTAGTGCTCAGTAGCAAGACCCTAAGTCCAATCATCTGCCTGGTAGGAATTCCATGCTTCTGTATAAGACTGTGAACTTCAAAGAGTGGCTGAAAAACTAAAATATTTCCCTTTAATATAGTTACCAATGATTATACTGGAGTTCTTCAAATTGATTGGATCATGCAGTGTTAGAATCATGGTGATCGATAATCAAGATGATCAACTGGATGAAGTTTTTCCTGTTTATTTTGTCCACTGTTAGAGATCTGAACACAAAGCCTTCCATCTTGACTCTTTTTCACTATTTATAAATGGCCTCATTTCTGTGACTTTATTTGTAGTGACTTGTGCTGTGGTCCAGCGAAGTGCATACGGCTTTCACACAGCCAGCTCATGTTTTTGGGATACCACTTCTGACGGTAAGTCAGGTCACACAGAATCAATGTTTCAGCAAAGACAAATAGTACTTTTTGTGTGTATGTGCCAGTCCTGGGGCTTGACATCAGGGCTTAGGTGCTGTCTCTGAGCTTTTGTGTTCAAGGTTAGTGCTCCACTTCTGACTTCTGGTAGTTTATCAGAGGTAAGAGTCTCACAGACTCTACTGCCTGGACTGCCTTGGAACTGTGATCCTCAGATCTCAGCCTCCTGAATAGCTAGTATTTCATGCATGAGTCACTGGCACCTGGCAAGAAATATATCTTTTTTTTTATCAAAAGCTCATTTAACATTGATTAAATTCTGAAAAGACTTTTATCAATATTGCTTGGTATCTAATTGAGTTATGACATCATACCAGTATGCAATGTGAACAAAAGACACTTGAAGAGATGGATTAAAATAGGATAGGTAGGGGATGGGGAAGAACGATGGGAGGAGTAACACTGATCACAAAGCATTGTACACATAACTGGACAGGTCAAACTGAAACCCCTTTGTACAACTAAAGATAACAATCAAAAGAAATAAAAACAGCACCCCCACCATAAAAAAATGTGTGTATATATTCCCCACCCCATTGTAATTTTAAGGTTTTACTGATCTTTCAAAGTCCTTCTCTTGTATATTTTCAGGAACCTGTACTGTAAGATGGGAGAACCGAACCATGAACTGCATTGTTAATGTTTTTGCCATTGCAATTGTCCTGTAATCAACTAAACAGGATGGGCTAAAGCCAGAAACTTAAGAATTTGTCAGTGTATCCTTTCTAAACAGCTTAATAGTTACTTATTCATGTGCTAGGTGATAAGTGTGCAACATGCTTCAAAGCTGTAACAAAACTGAATATTCTAAGCAAGTTAGAGGATTAGCTCATTCCACATGGCATCATTTAAATATGAAATTAATGAATGTTAGCAAAAAATAAGTGCAGAAATGTGGCATGACATAAAAACAAAATCTTATATTTACAACAGCTTTTTACTAACATCATTAATGTCCCTAAAGAACTGGGAAAATACATTCAGCTAATACAGTTATCTTTTAGCTAGAGAATTCAACAGGGATATAAATATGTGAACAAAAAGCTGCAAGGATAAATGTGCAAAAAATAAATTAGTTATTAACTTTTTAATTTCTTTCTTCATTTAGTTGCACACAATACAAAATTGGAAGTAGTTTTGTTCTTTTTTTCTATCAACGAAATTTACTGTAGCCCTTATGGTACATCTAATTTTTTTTAAAAAGCATTCAGTTTCTTGCATTTAAACTTGAAGTTGAACTAAAACTGATAAACCCAAATTTCTCAGTTAAGCAAAATTATAGTATATGATGAACCATGATTCAGACAACTGCCTTACAATCCACTCATTCCATGTGGAACAAACATTTGTTGAATGCCTGTTGTGAGCATATTTCTCTGCTAGGCAATACAGTTATCAACATGCTGTTGGAATGTTAAGTTTCTTTTGGCAGCTGTTCAGTTGGAGAACTAGTGTTTATGTTTGAAGAAGAAAAATTGAGTTGTTTGACAAGAGGGAGAGAACGTGAAGTGTGGTTATTCATGTAGATGGAAGCAAAATGAGAAGCACTTATTGATGACTGAATTGTAGATGTAATTTTAAGAGTTGCTCTTAGTAAGTTTCAGTGCACAACACATGCAGCTCTTAGTTAAAGGCCTTATTATTCTTAACCATCTATGTGGTAAATTTTATCATGGCTTTAATTTAAACTCATCTGTAAATAACTTAATAAGAGACTTATTGTGTGGGGCTCAAACTGAGTGGAGTTAAGTATGAATGAAAAATACACAATCATTAGCAGGTTATCTAATATCTCAGGGCTTATGAAATATATTTAAATTTATTAAGAAAATAAAAGATAAAAAATCAGGGTACACCACTGATCACCAAATGCGAAATCAATCTGCTATTTAACCTTGAAGACAAAATCGATCTCTCCTATTACCACCAACACCAATACATGTAGAAACTGGAATCATGATTCACTGACATTTTAGGGAAAAAGTAAAGCTTATTATTAGTATTGACAGTATTAAGACAGTATTAAGACTATATGCATGGTTGATACTTTGCTGAATAACAAAAATTGTTCAGTGTTTAAGAAGAAGATGAAGACAATGCAAGGATATGGTTTAATGAATATGTGGTTTTGACATATCAGAAATTTTAAGTCATTATCTTTATGTTACTTTATGCTGCTGGTTTTTGTGCCCCTGGAGATTATAATAATGACCAAAATATCTGTGCAGTAAAGGCTTATTTTTTATTATTGTTGTTGATGCCTGATTTAAAAAATTTAATCATATCTCATGAGCTTGCTATCCACTCTGTTTCTAGTTAAGATATAATAAAGATTATCTTCCTGTGCTGTACTTTTGCCTCTGGTTGATCATTTAATAGCTAAATAAATTTCATTGTGCTTACTCTTAATTTATTTTTCAGGCTGAGTGCTGGTGGCTAATAATGCCTATAATCCTGCTACTTAAGAGGCTGAGATCTGAGGATCAAGGTATGAAGCCAGGTTAGGCAGGAAAGTCCATGAGACTCTTATCTCCAATTAACTACCCCCAAAGCTGTAAGTGGAGGTATGGCTCAAGTGGATTGATCACTAGCCTTGAGCAAAAAAGCTCAGGAACAGTGCTCAGACCCTAAGTACAAGCCTCAGCACACACACAAAAAAGAATTCATTTTTCTTTTTTATCCAGAGTCTCACTATATATCTTAAGATAACTTGAAATTTGTGATACTCCCAGAGTGCCCAGATTCCAGGCATGTGCCACCATACTCAGTTTCTATAACAAATTATAAACAGAAGAAATGTGGGGAAATGAATATGGAACCAAATAAATATATTGTTGCAAACTAAGCACTGTAAAACAGCAACCTGTGGGCAGGCTGAAGTAGAAATATTCCAAGTTCGAGGCTAATGTTGCTACACAAAGATTTCAAGGCTAGCCTGAGCTACATAGCAAGACCTTGTCTCAAAAAATAAAATAGCAGTCCAAGTCCACTATTAATAATTAACACCTTCTGTTTTATGAGTTTTAAGACAAAATGTCTTGTTAAAAAAGTCAGTGTAAAACATATTCTATAATTATTAGCTTTTAATAATTATTTTTGGAAAAAATGTTGTCCTACTTATCAACTTGCAATTGAGTTGTTGCTGTTTTTTTTAAATTAAAGACTTTAACCATGTAAAATTAGGGTATTCACATGTAAGTACTAATGCAAATCTTTGTAAAGCTATAATTTCATGTTTGTAAAGTACTGGAATACCGCCTAAATGATGGCAACATCTTATTACATTTTCTCTAGTTAAAAAGTGCTTTTCTGCTGTTTTTCCCAAATTGAGTGTTACCTAATTATGAGTCACTGAGTTTATTTTCACTACCTGCATTCATCTTTACATGTTAAAAGTAAGATAATTAGGATTGTATTTTCAAAGTTTGAGCAAAAATATTTGTCTAAAAAAGTGTGAGAAAAAAATCAGTGACTTTTTATGGAAAGGTATTTATAGCAGATCCCAAAGCAAAGGAGAGATGAATTGGAAAATCCTCCCCATGTGTTAAAAATCTTTCAAGAGGAATTTGTTTTGTAAACAAGACTAAAGATAATGATGAGTCTAATGTTGAGCAATTCTGTAAAGTTCGCTTTCCCTATTCATGAAATTCTTGGTGCAAGGATATTAAACATTGATCCCTTTACCACATTTAGATGGCCATATTCGAAATGAGTTAACCAGAAATTCTAACCCACCCTGACTATTTGTAAACTCTGGTCTGACTTAATGTCACTCCTTGGATATGTACAACATATTAACACTCTAACCCTGGCTAGAAATACCTCTAATTGCTTCCTGATGAATGTCTCTTCCCCAAGTGGTTTCTAAGGTTCTTGAGGATAATAAAACTGAGACTGCATATGGACCCTTGGAACAACACTAACATCATATATATGTTCCATAAAGGTGGCGAGAAGTGGGTGACCACCCCCTTTCAGCATCCTTAAAAGATGAAAACCCTATGAGAAATGCCTTCAAAGTTCTCCCTATCCAGGTCAGGCAATATGCCCTGATAAAAATCAGGTCATATGTCCAGCAATGTCAGTGTCATAATCTAGAAAATTCAATACATTGATTCTCTTAAATAAGGATGGCCAAATGATTAATTGTAGCAAGGATATAAATATACTTAGATTGGAAGAGTTTTCTTGAAATCACATCAGGTGTAGAGGAAAGTGTTTTCTATTTCAAACAAAAATGAATACATTAATGAAAGGTGAAATGAGTACTGGATACTTGGGTAAATAATAATCAACTATATCAACTGCTATTTTACAAATAAATGCTCTGTCACATTATTGAAATATAGAGTCTCCTTAATCTAGTTTCCGTTTTTCTTCTTTCAATAGAGATATGGGTATAAGAAATGTTTGACTTTCTCCTGCACTTTTGGGAAGCAACAGTTTCCTGTTGCTGCTATAATTTGGTACCCCCAAACCACATCTGTTTACAGTTTTGGAGGTCAAAATTCCAAATAGTTTTAGTAGATTAGAGTCAAGGTGGTATTCTTGAGATTCTGTCCTACTAGTTTCTAGAGGCTACTTGTATTCCTTGGCAGGTGATTACTTCCTGCATCTTCAAAGCCATCAATTTACCATCTTCAGATCTTTTCTCTGATCTCTGATTCCTGTTCTGTCTCTGAACCTCATGCCTCCACTTTTTTTCCTTATTAAGAACCTGGTGATTATATGCACACACCCAGGATTTTATCCTATTCTCAAGATCTTTAATTACATCTGGAAAATTCTTTTTGCCAATAACATTGGCACATTCCAATGATCATGATGTGGACAGATGTTACTCTGTCTCTTATAACTTAATCATCACATGCTACTGAATATTGGCACACTTGTACATCATCTATCAGTAAAATTAGTGAATAGATAAGACATTAATGAGTTGGGTAGTACATGCTCTTTCCAAAAGGGAAGCTATGTCTCAGTACCAACCATTGTCATCATTTAGAAACAATTACTCAGAGGTATCCAGTGTTCTAGCTATTAACAATATCAAATATTAAGATGTGAATAATTCTTCCATGTTGAAATCACAGTATTATTCAACACTGATGTTTCTTTAAGGAAGCTCCATCAATAGTATAATCCTTTTAGATTTTAGTCTTATTGGTTGGTTGTGTTGTGTTGGGTTGAAGCAGAGTTTAGTCATGTAATCCAGGCTGGCCTCAAACTCCCAACCTTTTTGCCTATGCCTCCTGAGTACTAAGATTATGTATATGTCCTACTACTTCTGGCTGTCTTTAGTTCAGCATCAAGTAGGAGTCAAGAAAAAATAAATTAATATCAATATATTATCATTCTGTTCCTTGGGGACAACTGTTTATTCTCATATTAAACTCCAAAATTAGAATTGTCTCCTAGTTGAAGGCAGAAACATTCTCTTGGGAGCTTACTACAAAGAGGAAGGGAAGAAGCCCCACCACCTGCCATAGAAAGTGTGAATGAAAGAGAAAAACATACCAGGAATGTTCTATTAATTGAGGCTGCACATGGAAAGAAAATATCATGAGTGGGGGTTAGGGACTTTTTAATATTTAATACCGATTCAGACTTTTGAAAACACTGTACTCAGCATTATATGTACCAAAGTAAACATGTCTGTGGGTCAAATGCAGCATATAGGTGATTAGCTTGTCTCAGTTACATTGTTTCTTCATATCTTAAGTGTCTTGTAGTTTCTCCCTCCACATCACAGCTCCTTCCATAGATTAGATAATTTAGTGAGACATTGTATTTGGTCCACTAATGGTCAATAAGCGCAGGGTAGGAAATGAAGTCAGCTATGGTCTGGGCTTACGGCCAAGTCAGTATATCTGGGTGTAGCTGCTATTGTTGCAACTCTGATAATGTAGACTAGGGAGTTCGCACAGAAATAATGTTCTATGACTCATTTGTTTGCTCTTTTTGGAGGCAATTTTGCAGCATCTGGATCTATACAACAGAAATAACATGAGTAGGAAAAGGAAAAAGCAAATGAGAACTTTCCAGATTGTTTGTAATAGCAAATTAAAAATCAACAACACAGTGGCTGAAACTTGTAATCCTAGCTACTTAAGAGGCAGAAATGGAGGAATCTTGGTTCAAGGCTGGCTCTAAATCATAAGTTTTCATCTTAGCCAGTTGCCAGTGGCTCATTCTTGTAATCCTAACTACTGAGGACACTGAGATCTGAGCATAATGGTTTGGAGCCAGTCTGGGCAGGAGAGTTTGTAAGACTCTTATCTCCAATTAAGCACCAAAGAAAGAAGCTGGAAGTAGAGCTGTGGCTCAAGTGGTAGAGCACTAGTCTTGTGCAAGAAAGCTCAAGGACAATGTCCAGGCTCTGAGTTCAAACCCTAGGACTGGCACACATATAAACAGTTTCCATCTTAGTGGCTGGGCACAGTGGCTTTTCATGTTCTACAAGATATGGGAGAGGCTCAGTGACTCGGTACATTGGCATAAACCTGTTGTCCCTAGTCAGGAGAACCACAAAAAGACCTTTATCTTCAAAAAATCAAGGCATAAAAGAGCTAGCAGCATAGTGTGGCTCAAGTGATAGAATACCTGCCTAGGAAGTATATGGTGCTGAATTTAATCCTTACTACTATCAGAATGGAACAAAACTTCATACTTTATTTGTCACATGTTTTAAAATAAAACAATTGTATGTATTTTGTCAGTCATGGGGCTTGAACTTAGGGCCTGGATGTTGTCCCTTCTGTGCTTAAGGCTAACACTCTACCACTTTGAGCCACCGCTCCACTTCTGGTTTCCCAGTGGTTAGAGATAAGAGTCATGCAGACTTTCCTGCCTAGGCTAGCTTTTAAACCTCATGAGTAACTAGGATTACAGGCATGAGGCACCAATGCCCAGCACAATTCTATGTTTTTAAAACAATTTAAATTATATAATATGTGAATAGCTTTTTCATGTAAAACATTACCATATAATGAAAATATAATATTTTTTGCTCTCGATCTTGCCTTTTCTTGGTCTTCCACATCCACATCCCCATCCACTCCCAAGAGACAAAAAAAATCTACTGTCATTTTTGATATGCCTGATCCCAGACTTTAGTTTTTCATCTATATAAACATATGTATCAATATTTTACAGTTATATAATACATACTATTCTACCGATTTGTCCTTTTATGCAACAATATACCCTGCTATTTTTTTTCGTGTTAGTAGATGCAATCACCTTGTTGGATTTAGCAGATATATCATATGGTACACATAGTACTATTCATTAATTTTCTTGTTGGACTCTTAGACGGTTTCCCATGTTCCACTCAATGCCACTATAA